CCGAGTGTTAAGGACCTTAAGCCCCAGGGTCCTCCACCAAGTTTTGAGTGTTAAGTACTTTTAAGTACTAGGGTCCTCCACCAAGTTTTGAGTGTTAAGTACTTTTAGGTACTAGGGTCCTCCACCAAGTTTTGAGTGTTAAGTACTTTTAAGTACTAGGGTCCTCCACCAAGTTTTGAGTGTTAAGTACTTTTAAGTACTAGGGTCCTCCACCAAGTTTTGAGTGTTAAGTACTTTTAAGTACTAGGGTCCTCCACCAAAATATTTTCCTATGATCAACCTCCTATCAACCTAGATAGAGTCGATATCATACTTAGTTACTCATAACTAATTCAATACATAAAGCTTATGTATCACAACCCATGCAAAGCCATGCAATTATATAAATGTATAATTAACTAATATCAACCGATATTAATTAATCCATTATTCATCGGTCAACGTTGTCGTTGACCACCAATTCAAGCCTTGTACATATCAACTTAATCATCATATAATTAAGTTAATAATACTCATTTGTGCTTCTTTTACACTTCAAGCTAATATGCATTTTATATAATTCCTCATATCATATTTCATGCATAAACAATTAATTCTTTTCATACAACTTAATCAAGTTGGCTAATCACATGTTTAAATATCTTTTAAACATCATTATGAACACATATAACATTTATTTAGGTAATCTCATAATTAACCCAAAAGTTATAAGATATTAAGCCGTCCACTCACCTTGAACTAGCGTATGAAATTCTACCCCTCTTGGTTGAACTCCGGTGAAACTCCGGCGACTTTCGGTCAACTCCGGCGACAACTCCGGCGACTTTTCCAACTTTGTGAAATCACTTGAAATACCTTTCACAAGTTCCTAACAAGGTTTTATAATCATAAAACACATATTAATACAAATAACCTCAAAAAGGTTATTTTCCGGTGAACCGGTCGTTTTGGCTTCTAAGACCGTTCTTGGACATAGAATCACTTCCCAACCCATAAATCCATACTTATAACATGTAGAACCCTCTTAAGGATTCTTCACATGATATATATCTCATATGGTAGGAGAAAAATAAAGGAAAAGTTATAATGAGGTCATTACCTTAATTTACACACTTTTCCTAGCCTTTTTCCTTCTTTAATCCCACTCCTTGGACCTCTCTTGCTTGAGCTCGAGTTGCAGCAATGGAGAAAGGTTGGAGAGCTTTTTCTTCCTCCTCCTTTGGTAGCTAGGCCGAAATAATGCATAGGGGAGATGTTGGGGTGTCCTTTTTGTCTCCTTTGGCAAATGAGTGAGGTCAAAGGGCCCCCTTGCACCTTCCTCCACTCAATCTCTTGTCAACCTAGGCCCTTCCTTGTTGTTACAGCACAAAAAAACGTGGGTTGGCCCCCACTCCTGTGGGAGGTCATCCCTTTGTGTCCCGGTGTGTACAATCGGTCCCGAAAGTTGTATTTTTCGGACTGTTTTAATCATAATTTATTTTATCGGGTAAAATAAAATATATTATGTGTTCCCCATCATACTCACCTTTGAAATAATATATATCCCAAAACTTTAATTTGGAAGTCTCCGAAATTCATTTTCGGGCTGTTATCCGTTTAATTGTCGGTACCGGTAATTGGGCTTCTTTTGACCAATCGGTCAACCCCAGGCCTTTCCATGGCCCAAATAAGATGTTCACTACCATATAAATATTATTTCGACCCATAATGATAATTTATGTGATCTCGGGAATATCGGGCGGCCCCCGCTCCCGGTGTGGGTCCCACGTGCAATTTACTATTCACGCGAAAGAAATAATAAAAATTTACAACTTCGTAAATTCATAAATCCTTTATTAAGGTTCAATACATTATTTACATAAAAGTAAATATATTTGGCGACGGTGTTACAAACCATCGGTTCGTTGGTCGTTTTTAGTAATAATTAATGTCGGAACGTTAACTAATCGTCACTTAGCAACCCTCCAACATTAATATAGAATGAGTAAGGGAAAGGGGTGTATTTATAGCAAAATGTAAGAAATAACTATTCTAAACCATCCACGACCTGAGATTAAGGGAAGAATTAATAATCAAGAGAAGAAGTTATGGAAAAATATAAGAAATAACTATTCTAAACGGAGCTTAAGTATATGGAAGAAGAGATGATTCTTTTGTGAAGGAAAAGGGGTGTATTTATAGCAAAATGGAGGTGGCAGGGTGTTGTACTCGATCCAGTATATGGGATACTGGATCGAGTATGAGAGGAAATTTCTAGGAAATTGTGGAAAATAGGCATACTCGACCGAGTATTTCAAATACTCGACCGAGTAGGAGACATGATTTTTATCAAATATTCAGCCACGCCCTTTTGCTCCCAGATTTGATTTTGACCAGCATATCCGATCAATACTCGACCGAGTATTGGTAGTACTCGACCGAGTACTGAACAAATTTCAAAATCTTCATTTGATCTTCTCCCTTTTGCACATTCTTTGGTCTTTAGGATCCATCCTTTGATTATTGGGATGATTTTGACATGTCCTAAACTCAGAAAAATCTTAATCTAAACAAATTACAAATAATTTTACAAACTAAAATATTACACCAAAAGTGTGAAATTTCCAAAATATCAACCAACAAAATTAACTAAAAACACAAACATACACATGGAAATTACAAAGGATCAAGTGTATAGATGGGCAGTGGACTTAGCAGTAGGCTACTGCTTAGTTGACTGCTGAAACAGCTGCTCAATATAGGAAGTGATTAGTGTGTGCTCTGTTGACTGAAAGTAAATCAACACACAGTGTATCCTAGTTCAGAGGTGGTGTAATCCTCCTACGTCCAGTCCCACCCTCTTTCAGATGGATTTCCACTAAAGTATTAACCCAATACACTTAGTGTCAATCTACCCTTAACTCACAACTGACCTAGATTTAAGGTGTTTCACAAGGAGTACACACCACTCCAAACTACTCAATCCTTAGATTTTCTCAATTCATCCAATGGAGATCAAAAGGTACTCTATTTAACCATACTTAGGACTTGATAACACAGTCCTTCTAAGTGTTTACAACAATTTATGATTGAACAAAAACTAGCCTCCAACTAAGAACTAAACATCCAGAATATAGCAATGAGAGGTTCTAACTTGGAAGTTTAGTGAAGCAAGAGTCTAAGCACAGAGCAAAGTTAAGCAGGCATTTTCTCTTTTGCTAGATATCTCTTGAATGCTTTATGGGATTTTCTCTACTTAGAAGGCTCAAAAACTTGGTTTAAGAACTCATGTTTCTGCCTATATTTATAGGTCTCTCCAGTTGATTAATCTCATCCGTTGGTTGAGAAGAGATTATCTTGAACGTGTTGAAATGTGTCTTCTTGTGCTGGAGCAAATATTGTTGATTTATTTGTCTTCACTGATGAGCCCATGAGAGATCAATTCAGAATCAATCTTCATGATTTGTTGTGTGCGTCCCATGCTTTAGGCCCTATGTACTCTTTGGCTCTGGCTTCTTCTTCTTTGGCTTTGGCTTCTTCTTCTTTTCTTCTTCCGATCCATATTCTTTAGAATTTTCTTTGTGGTTTCCACCTCTTAACCTAGCTTTTGTAGGTCACTTCCTTGTTTCCAAAACGTTTCTTGAGTGGCCTTCTGATGGACTTTGAAGTTCTCAGATATGTCCTTGGTGAGTTGTTCAAATGAGTTGGCATGGGCTTCTTGCTCTTTAATGAGTTTGTAGGAGAGCTTTATCATGGCTGGAAATTCTTCATTCCTTAGCTTGTTGAGGTCTTCATGCTCCTGTATCTTTCGAAGAGCCTCCTTAAGATTAGGAGGAAGAGAAGGTAGAGAAGGTACCTGGGCAGAGGGCCCTGCTTCATGATTTGAGACCGTTGTTTGTAATATAGGCTGTTGCTGCTTCTGGAATGCTAGAATCTGGTTTTCTAGTTCTTCATCTTTTGCTCGAAGCGCAGCTAGCTCATGCTGTATGTCGGATGTTGAAGCGGACTGTTGTGAAAGTTTTGTTTTGAGCAGGGCTCTTTGCTCAGAGTTGAATACTTGCTGAATCATTAGATTGCTCCTGATATGTCTGTGTACCTCTTCAAATCTCATATCTAGCCTTTCATCCAGTTGCTTCTTCATGCATGTTAATGATGCAAATCGGATTTAAAAAAACACAAATTGCGGCGCTTTTTCCTTAATATGCGCCGCACAGGAATTAAAAATAAAAAAAATATGGGTTTGCGGCACTTTTATTTTGATAGGTGCCGCAAGTATAAACGTTTTTTTTTAATTTTATAATGTATGCGGCACTTTTTTTAAGAAAACGCCGCACAGTGAGGAGAATTATATTTTAATGATTAATTTGTATGAGGTGCTTAATTACAATAAGCGCCACTAATATTTTCTCTGCGGCGGTCAAATATGCGGCATATCACTGTTTTCCACTAGTGGTGCAAGCCTTTAACATAATAGGTGGATGAAAAGTCTTGGTAGAACCAATACCTCCAACATATATACTATCCTAAGATACAACCAAGGGATTTAAGAATAATTAATCCTAAGCAGGGACGGATCCAGAATTTCGAGTCAAGAGGGGCGAAATTTTCTTCGTTAGTGTAGGAGTTGAAAAAATTTCCTCTAGTGTAATAGGGTGAAAAACAATTCGTTAGTTTAGCGGGTCGAAATTTTTCACTAGTGTAGGACTCTGTGGTTAATTTTTGTTTAAAAACTTCCATTAGTAAATACACGATGACATTTAGTGCCCTTGAAAGTCCAAGGGGAGCGGTTCCCCCCCCAAATCCATCCCTGATCCTAAGAATACTAGCCGCACCATTTTTTATTAAGCCAAATCAAGCTAATTTGAATTGTTCTAATAAAAAAAGGTTTGTTCCTTTTCAATAATCTCCCTCATATTATTTCTGATTTAGACTTCTAATTTCTGAAATCTTCCTTCACTTATTGTCAACAACTATGAAGCACGAGTATATTAATAAAAGATCAAAATGGGAAGAAAGCATACCTGCCTCACAAAGCATAGAACGCCATGGACTCTTTTATTTATTATATTGTCAACCTTATTCTTTTATACACGGTACGTTATACATTACACAGACATCAGACATGTATGTAGTGGCTGACAATTAAGCTGGCCTAGCCGAGGTTCTTAAAACGTTAAGTTGGGGAAATACGTCTCCCAGTTCTTAGCATACCAGACAACATGATTCTCTGGAAGGAAATGGCAAACAGGTTCATCAGTCCCTTGCTTGACCTTAAGCACCTGGAAAGCCAAATGATTTGGGTTCCAACCAGAAGTATCTTTGTGGCAAACCGCCGCCGCCTTTACCTGCGCTCCATTAGCTCCGACCAGGGAAACCTTAAAAGCATCCGTCGTCTCTGTTTTGTGGCAATGGAAGACGGCGTATCCGTAGCTCTGCTTGTGGCAGACGATGACCCCATCGCCTTCTTCATTCATTTTCTCAACGCCTGAAACGCTGTAATTCTGAAAGAATGAGGTTTCTCCGGCAACGGTCTCCGTCGATACAGCCCGGATCTTCTTCCCCTGCATCCCCTGCATCATAGATATGGCGAAGTCGACCATGGATTCCAGTGACGTGGCGCACTGCATCTCCTCTCCTTTGACAGGGGGTTCTTCGCATTCTTTGATGGTTTTCTTCATCTCCCGAGCTTCATCGGAATCGGGTTTTACGGAGAAGCGGTCGAGGATTCGGGGAATCTCCCGGGAGGAAAACGGGATCTTTTCGGATTCCGTCCGGGGCAGGAAAACGGGGCCGTTCGCAGGCGTCGATAATCGTAAGGTCATGCCGTCGGCGTTGCCTTTGTGTAAGGCGGCGGGCTTGAAGAAGAGGGAGACGCCGGAGTTGTCATGGAATTCGTTTTCCGTCGCGTTGTGGCGGTAGATAATGACGCTGTTTAAGCTCTGAAATTCCTTTGCGAAGGAGGAGGACCAAGCAGTAGCTGCTGCAGTTGGGAGGGAATTTCTGATTGCTAGGGGCATGGCAGTGTTGGGAAGCTTCGTATTCCAATACATGGTCAGCATACATGAAGATGAAGCTGCTGCCAGAGGCGGCTTTGGGGTCATTTCACCAAGGCAAATGCCTTGGGCCTCATTTTCCATGGGGGCCTCCACATAAAAAATGCTAAGTATTAGTATTTGGTATATAATAATCCGTAGTAATAATTAATAATACGCCGTAATTATCCATGGTTCTACACATCCGCCGAATTGGGGCCTGCAAATCGACAAGCAGCAAGCCTGCAACCGGTTTCTCAGTTCTTATCAACCGGCGACCGCATATCGTATCAGCAAGTCTAAGACTATAGTACTACCAATTTCGGATTGGACCTTAATCTCTGCTTTATTGATTTCCTCTGTGACTCTATTCTTCTTGGGGACTTTGGAGAATTGTAGTTTCTTCTATTCTGGAAATCAAAGTTAGACTTTGGAGAATTGGAGTTTCTTCTATTCTGGATTGCAGAAATAGTTAGACTTTTTTCTCATTTTCTGCTATTGGCCGTAAATTGAGATTGGGGAATTTGTGGTTTGGGAATTTGAGATTGGATATTTCTCTACACTATTGATAAGCCTAAGAAATAAGAATACTGACTCATTAATCATTGTATGCACTTTTTTTTACGGAGTAATTGTTAACTTAACAATATTGGGGATTCCAAATAAAAAAACTTAACAATATTGGGTAATGTTTATTTGTTATAATATTATTATGAGTACTTTAATAACTTATGGTTTGCACTAATATTTTATAATTGTAATTGCCTAATTGTATTAGTTAATTGATTATTTTGTCATTAATATTTTATAATTGTATATTGTAATTGACTAATAGTTAATTTTATTTTCTTATTCATCGTTTGCTATTAATTACTCTCTCCGTCCCGAAATAATGTCTCGTTTGCTTTAGCACATATTTTAAGAAAGTGGTTGAAAAGATAAAAATCGTGGTTGAGATTTGAGTAGAAAAATGTGAATTGATATGAGTCACATATTATTGCCAAATGAGGAAACAAGACAATTATTTTGGGATGGACCGAAAAGGAAAGCAAGACATTTATTTCGCGACAGAGGGAGTATTATTTATAAATATATTAAATATGTACTACCTCCATCCTATTAGAAGGTTCTTATCCACTATTTACATGATCAACTTAAATCATTTTTAATCTTTTACTTTATATATCAAATTTGTATCAAATTTACATTTCTTTTATCAGGCTTTGTAGCGGATTTAGTGTAGTTTTTGTATAGGTAAATTTTATTTACTAAAATTAATCAGAGTGTCAACATGGATTAAGTTGTTTTATCGCTAGTCAAGCATCGTAAACGATCAACGGGAACCTTCTAACAAGACGGAGGGAGTAGTAAGTATTGTCATGACTGGTAAACGAAAGTTTGAATACGGTTTTATTAGTCATATTGTTTATGTGAACGTTAAGCATTTCCCGCCTGGGGCCTCCTGAATGCTAAGGCCGCCCCTGGCTGCTGCATGGCTTCCCACCATACATAACTTATGAAAAAGAACACAAACAAATTATATGGAAACATAATTGCAACATAATTGCACTGGAACAAAAACCTAAATCTTTCACAAGTAAGATTAAATATTGATTTTTTTATCTTTAATACCTCTAATCTAATTAATTAACTAGTGTAAAGCCCGTGCAATGCCCCGGTGTATAGCGTGTCAAATTTGAATTAGTTAAAATGAAAAATACTATAATCTAACCAGAATCAAAATTAATTTGTACGACGTATTTGTTAAATGAATTTATATTAAATTATCCATCATCATATATTATATATTTACTCTTTAATGTGTACAAATTTAGCGATTACACATCCAAATATGTAAATGAGTAAAGTTGCGTGATTAATAACAAACATGCTCAAAAGTTACGGGACTCACAAATATGCTCAAAAGCTATGGGACTAAGAAAACATATGTCCCCATTATTTTGAGTATCCTCTTTAGAATTTGAATTAAGATCTTGGGGAGTTGTGATTCTTACTGGGATTGACATTTTATACGTGTCATAAGTTTTTTGCTCTAAAAAATATTGTGCTTTCCTCTAAAAAAAATATTGCGATCATCAATGCTTTGTTCGCATATAGTTTTAGCTTCGGATTTATTTTAATTTTATTCCAATTGTCCATTCACTTGTGATATTATGCTAATAAATTATATTTAAATAATTATGCATACTTTAATTTATACAAATTTCTATATTAATTACTATGAACATAGACTTAGGATATAATTACTATTATTAATAATAATATTATTATATTAATTATTACAGAGTGTTGTTGTTATTATTACTATTGTTATTAATATTGTTGTTGTTATTGTTCTTTATTATTATTATGAAAAAATTCATTAATATTATTTTTTAAAATATGATGAACAAAAATTAAATATTACTTAGTGACTATAATTGTGTTCAGATTTAAATCTTAGTAGTTACATGTAAGTTACTACGGTGTAAAGTTTGAACATAATTATTGTCACTAATAGTTACTTCGTACTAAGTAATATTTTTGTCCTCCATCATCATATCATCATCATCATAGAGAGTCCTATTCGCATGAGCTTTATCGCATTGAAATTTCATTTGATAAGCATTGAAAAGTTAAAACCCTATTATTACATATTTGATAATATTGAAAATATTGGGATTTTCAATCTTTTTCGTATGTATTTTGTAACATTTAAGTATTGATATTAACTATTTTTGTTAGTCAATAAGAGATTGACACCTCAACTTTACTATATAAAACAATAGTTTATTTTCAACTCAACTTTACTATATAAAATAATAGTTTAGTTTTTGTATATGCAATATTTGTGTCATATGAAATATCATAAGAATTATGGATTTAGATGTATTTTTTATAAAAATTATTGAAATACAAAAAAAGGAGATTTTTCTCTTTTCTTTCTCCAAATGAGTAGTGTCATACACGGAGTAAATAGCAATGATGAACCGAGTCAACTTAAATAAATTAAATGTTGTAGTAGGAAGGGTAATAGAATTTTTGTTATTAAATAAAATTTCTAAATCAGCTTTATTATATTTAAAAAAAATTGATAATAATTTTTTATTTTTATATATGACAATATTGGTGTCATATGAAAGATCATAAAAAACTATGAATTTTGATTTATGTTTTGTAAATGTTGGAGTACAAACACAAAAGTTATGTCACTTTTAAAAAAAAATAGTTTTTTTGCTCCAAATTAGAGTCCTTTTTGCAGCCGTTGTTATTCACGATTGATGGTAGTTGCCGTGAATCAATTAGAATTCATTAATTGTTTTAACAATAGTCATAAAAAAGATTTAATTAACCAATTAGAGATTGACACATCATTGTTTTTTAACTCAAGTTTACTATATAGAACAATAGATGGGAAATTATACCAGGGTGGTCAATTGGTGACGGGGAAGTCCGACGATGGCGGGGCAGTCTGGTGGTGGTGGTCCCGACCAATGTCGGTGGCGGCGGACTTCCGATGGCAATGACAGACGTATTGGTAAAAAAATCAAGAAATGTTTTTGGCCCACCGAAGCTTCGGTGATGGCGGCGATAGGCGGCGGCGGCGGCTGGAACTCCGTCAAAAGGATGCAGGTGGTGGGACTAGGCGGGGTTGGGGCATTTTTGTCCAATCACAAAAAATTGAGAATTTTTAAACTTTTGATTGGCAATTTTTTTTGTAGGAGAGAATCATGAGATTTGAGATTTCAAGATCAGAACTTTGACATTTTCTAAAATAAAAATCTACACCATCCTATTTGTGATTGGACAAAAATAAGGTTGTAATAATATTAATTATGTATCTAAGACTTTCTCTCTCTAGGGTGAATTCCGCCATTAGGGTTTTCTTCTTCGCTATCTATTCTTTCAAGGAGCGCCAGTCTCCCTACGCTAGTTAGTTTTTTTGTTCCGCCGATCGAGTTGTGCTCGTGCGGCTGAGGTTTTCGTGGAATGAGAGCTTCGTGATTGGAGTTTCAGAACGTGAGTGGAACGCAAGGACGCGGTGGGGTGCGGATTGGATTTTTTGGGAAAAGAAACACAAAGCAACATCATAGAGATTCAGACGAATTTTCTGAGGGTTGAAATTCGATCTCTTCACTACTAGAATTTTCCTTATTTGCTGCTGCCCAATTGCTGCGGTTCTTAGTTAAAGCGCAGCAAATAGGTAAAATTAATAGGTATTTGCTGCGGTCCTATTAAAACCGCAGCAAAAAGTTGAAAATTTTACACTTTTTGCTGCGGTCGTAAACGTACCGTCGCAAATAGTCTATAAAATTTCGATCTTTTTTTTTAGAGAGAATTCTCTAAATAGGAGTAAAAAAGTTTTGAAATTTCAAAATAGGACTATCATGTTTTTTATTCCCTGAATAGGAGTAAATTTCTGCCAAGTTTGGCATTACTAAGCTTTAAACATGGCATTTTCTTCCAAAATTTGGCAGATTACTCCTATTCAGGGAATAAAAAACTTGATACTCCTATATTGGAATTTCAAAACGTTTTTGCTCCTATTTAGGGCAATTTCTATTTTTTTTAAACTTTTGTCATGTGGGTATAGATTTTTTTTCTCCTGTTTGCTGCGGTCGGGGTTAGAACCGCAGCACATAATCCATCTCAAAATTTTATCCGCGGATATTATCTTCTCCAATCCTTCAATCTATTAGAGCGAGCAAACGTAACCCTCCCCAAATGCCCAAACCCCAGCCCTCTCCCAGATCTTGTGGCCGATTCTTGCCTACGGCCAGGTCGCTGCCGAAGTCCAGCTCACCGCCGTCGCAGCTGCGGATGCCGACGGCTAGCTCCTCGCCACTGCAGATTATCGCTGACGGCGACCTCCTCGCCGCTGCAGACCTCGCCGACGGCATCCGTTCCTCGCCTATCTCCTCGTTGATGCGGACGCAGAACCTTGCCACTTCATTGGCTTCAACTTCATCTTCTCTACACTTCATCTTTGCTTATTATTAAGGTTAGTTGTTTAATGTTTAATGTGTATTGAATGAAAAAATTGTGTTTATTGTTCTTTTTTTATATTTATTGTTTCAAATAATTTAAATAAGAATTGGGAAAATATATGATATATATATTACATGATGAAATTAAATATACTATCATTGTTGTTATTTGCCAATAGATGAAATTTACATGGGATACAAAACTAGTAATTCGATATATATTTTATAATAATAAGAAGAATGTGCAATACAAGTTATTGTAGTGTTTTTTGAATTACATAGATCTTAATATTTTGTTTTTAATTTATTTGTATTAGGAATCTATATTTGACTTAAATGTTTTAGTTTGTTCAGGTCACTGATGGAATCGGAGCAGCTCGACGACATTACCGTAGCAGCTCGCTTAAGCTGCCGCAGCCACTTGCAGACGCAGCTCCGTTCCGCACCGCTGCCAAAGTCCGTTGTGCCGCCTACTTCATCTTCTCTACACTTATCTTTTTATCAAGGTTGGTTGTTAGTAACTTAATCTTTTAATATATTTGTTTAATCCATATGGTGTATCACTGTATTGAATGCATAGAATTTTTATATTGCTTCTGCTTTTAAACATATTCTTG